TAACCTCATAAAAGGAATTTGTCAATATTCCTTCTGTTTCTATTTTGTGGAACAATTTGAGAAGTGTTGCTATTAGCTCTTCTTTGAAGTTTTGGTAGAATACTGTGCATCTGGCCCATTTTTTGTTTGGGAGACTTTTAATGACTGCTTATATTTTCTTGGGGGTTAAAGGTCTAGTTAAATTGTTTATCTGGTCTTGATTTAATTTTGGTATGTGATACTTATCAATAAAATTGCCCATTTCTTTAATATTTTCCAATTTTGTGAAGTTCAGGTTTTTTAAGTATGACCTGATGATTCTCTGGATTTCCTCAGTGTCTGTTGTTATGTCATCCTTTTTGTTTCTTATTTTGCTAATTCTCTCTCTGCTTTTGGTTAGTTTGGATAAGGGTTTGTCTATCTGGTTGCTTTTATCAAATATTCATTGATCCTTTGTATCATTCTATTTGTTTCTATTTTATTGATTTCAGCCCTCAAGTTGATTATTTCCTATTGTCTATTCCTCCTGGGTGAGGTTCCTTTTTTTTTGTTCTAGAGCTTTCAGATGTGCTATTGAGTTGCTAGTGTGAGATTTCTCCTGCTTCTTTATGTAGGCATTTAGTGTTATGAACTTTACTCTTAGTACTGCTTTGGTAGTGTCCTATAAGTTTGAATATGTTGTACATTCATTTTCATTGAATTTTAGGAAGTCTTTAATTTCTTTATTTCTTCCTTAACCCAGTGGTGATTCACCTGAGCATTAGTTAGTTTCCATGAGCTTGTAGCCTTTCTGTACCTTGTATTGTTGTTGAATTCTAACTTTAAGCCCTGGTGATCTGATAAGATACAGGAGGTTATTTCAATATCTTTGTGTCTGTTGAATTTGTTTTGTGACTGAGTATGTGGTCAATTTTAGAGAAAGTACCATGAGATGCTGAAAACAAGTTATATTCTTTTGTGTTTGGGTGGGATGTTCTATCTATTTCTGTTAAGTCCACTTGAGTCATAACATTTCTTAGTTCCCTTATTTCTTTGTTGTTAAGTTTCTTTCTCACAGACAAATCCATTGGTGAGAGTGGGGTGTTAAAGTCTCCCACTATTAGTGTGTGGGGTTTGATGTACAATTTAAGTTTTAGTAATGTTTCTTTTACATGTGTGGATTCCATTGTATTGGGGGGCATATTCAGAATTGAAACTTCATCTTGATGATTTTTTTCTTGTGATCAATATGAAATGTCCTTCACAATCTCTTTTGATTAATTTTAGTTTGAAGTCTATTTTGTTAGACATTAGAATAGCTACACCAGCTTGCTTCTTAAGTCCATTTGATTGGAAAGTCTTTTCCCAACCCTTTATTCTGAGATAGTGTCTGTCTTTGAAGTTGAGGTGCGTTTCTTGTATGCAGCAGAAGGATTGATCCTGTTTTCATATCCATTCTTTTAGCCTGTGTCTTTTTTTATAGGTGAATTGAGTTCATTGATATTAAGAGATATTAATGACCAGTGATTGTTAATTCCTCCTATTTTTTGGTTTTGGTGGTGGTGGTAGTGTGTGTTTACTTTCTTTGGGATTTGCTGAAGTGGGATTATCTGTTGCCTGTATTTTTGTGGGTGCACATAACTTCCTTAGGTTGGATTTTTCCTTCTAGTGCTTTCTGTAGGGCTGGATTTGTGGATAGGTGTTGTTTAAATCTGGTTTTATCATGGGATATCTTGTTTACTCCATCTATGGTGATTGAGAGCTTTGCTGGGTATAGTAGTCTGGGCTGGCATACATGGTCTCTAAGTGTCTATGTAATGTCTGTCCAGGACCTTCTGGCTTTTAGAGTCTCCATTGAGAAGTCAGATGCTATTCGGATGGGTCTGCCTTTATATATTACTTGGCCTTTTCCTTTGCAGGTCTTAATATTCTTTCCTTATTCTGCATGTTTAGTGGTTTGATTATTATGTCACAAAGGGACTTTTTTTTTGGGGGGGGGGTCCAGTCTATTTGGTGTTCTGTAAGCTTCTTGTATCTTCATAGGCATTTTCTTCTTTAGGTTGGGAAAGTTTTCTTCTATGATTTTGTCGAATTTTTTTTCTGCCTTTGAGTTGGTATTCTTCTCCTTCTTTTATCCCTATTATTTTTAGGTTTGGTCTTTTCATGGTGTCCCAGATTTCCTGGACATTTTGTGTTATGCCTTTGTTGGCTTTAATATTTTATTTCACTGATGAATCTATTTCCTCTATTATATCTTCAATGCCAGAGATTCTCCCTTCCATCTCTTTCATTCTGTTTGTTATGCTTGTAATTCCTCTTCTTTACCCAGATTTTCCAGTTCCATAATTCCTTCAGTTTTTATTTATTTTTTATTGCTGAGGTTGTGGGGGATGGGTTGGTTTGGGAGGCTGATTGTGACTTGTAGATCACAGGGTCCATGGGGGTGGGGGTGGTTGGAAGGCCTGCTTGCAGGAAGGAGCCTTCCCTTCTGGCCAGTTGGGCTGTAAGGGGTGGGGTTGGGGACACAGGGTTTGGCCTAGGGCCTAGAAACTGAGCTGTACAGCTGGGAGAGCAGTTACTCACCTCTTGGTCCAATCGATGCTAGAGGTGTCTGTGTCTCAGGGAGCCACTGAGGTCATGGGGGGTGGAGTGGGACTTGTAGATTACAGGGTCTGATGAGGGGTGGTGGTGGAAAGGCCTGCCTATGAGAGCCTTGCCTGATGGCTGGCTACTGGGCTACTTAAACATTTTAAGTATCATATGCAGCAGATCTCAAAGAGGTTAAAGGATCAATATTTGTTATGTACATCCAGAGTACAAAACTTCATTCCTAGGTACCCGATAGAGACTCAGTGTGAAATCATATGCAGGAAGTTAGATGAAGCCTTTTTCTAGAATTAGTTAGTATGCAAATGACCATTAATATCATGACAGAAAGTTTATATATATATATATTGGTCTTATAAATTACTTATCCTCTCATTTAATTGTTCCATTTTCAAACCATCCAGCGTATTATCATACAGAGACCTAACTCTCTCCATTTTGACAGTGTTTCCCATTTTTAACACGGGAAAAAACTCTCTTTTTAAACTAATTCCTTCCTTTAGGAATTCCCAATTGTCTCACCAAATCTGCCCACGATGACGATTCAGTTGATGGTGAAGTGTGAGGCTAACGGCTGCTACGTAGAACTGTAGAAGCCTGAGCTGGTGTCAAGACAGCCAGCTAGTGTGGCAGCAGCCTGAGGAGAGAGTCCAGGGAAATCCCACAACCCACTGGGAGAGGGAACCTGCTACTGAAAAATTCACACAGGGTCATGAGAAGAAACACACGTAGCAGGAACTGACTAAAGCAGAGCTGGCCGGTGGTGAGGGGCCACTCTGGCAGCATATTGAGCCCATGCACCTCTGCAGTTTGTTACAGAGAGGCTGCAGCGAAAACTTAGCCAGTGGGGTAGCAACTCTGGCTGCATGCAGCTCCATCCTGTGCCGGTAGCCGCAAAGCCACAGGCATGCAGCTTTTTGGGGGTGGGGGCATTTTTTGTGCCCCAAAAGTTGGATGCCAGATGTAGCATGAATTCTAATTGGTCTTAATAATAAAAACTCAGAGTCAAATATCAGAGTGAAAGCTGAAAGATCAGAGAAGCAGAGCAGTCAGCCACTAGAGAGATTTTTACCTCTACCAAATCCTCAGAATCACCTGAAAGGGGTGAGCTCCTGCCTCCTGCTTTTTATTCCTCTCTCTGCCCAGCCATGTCACTTCCTGTCCCCACCTCCACAGTGCTGGAAGAAGTAGGCCTCCCCAGTGCTGGGATCAAAGGTCTGTGCCACCACTGCCTGGCCTCTACGGTTAACTAGTGGCAAGCTGTGTACTCTGATCTCCAGGCAAGCTTTATTTGTCAGAGCACAAACAAAATATCACCACACTTTTGAAAATTTAATTATTTTGAATGAATGTTTAGAAAATTTTAAATTATATTTTTCAGATTTTTAAAACTCCATTTATTATATACTATAATACCTGGCAAATATTATTTGATATGGTTTTATGTTTATTTCCATGATATATCAAATGATCCTACAATGTATTTTTAACATTTTATACTAATCTTTTATGAAATGTTCAATTTAAAAATATACATTCACATTACTATGCATGTATATATATATGTGTGTATGCATCTATGTATGGGTATATATATATATATATATATATATATATATATATATATATATATATGTATACCCAAGAATCAATGAAGGCAACCAGTATTCTAATTCATTTTATAATAATTTTTAAAAGTAATTTGTTAAATAGTTATTCAATGTAAATTATGATGAGGTATAATTAAAATATATAAGACAACTGGAATACAGAAGTTGATTAGTAATGAGAAATTTTATAGTCTAACATGAAAAAATCTGTTAGCTATGGTCCTTTTAAAGTAAAATTATGGAGCTGCAGAGATGGCTCACCAGTTGAGAGTACTGACTACTCTTCAAGAGGATCCAGGTTCAATTCTCAACACTGACATGGTGGCTCACAAACGTTTGTCACTCCAGGGCCAGGAAATTTTACATCCTCTTCAGGCCTCCAGGCATGAGACACAAAAGTGGTATGCATACATACACATATACAGATAAAACACGGTGTGCATACATACACATATACAGATAAAACACGGTGTGCATACATACACATATACAGATAAAACACACATACACATATGGTCAAAAGGAAAAGTAACATTACTCATTTGATTAAAACAGTGTCGGAAATGAAATTTTGCCCATGGACTGAAGATAACATCTCAGTTATCATTATGTATATTTCTTATGTGTTTCATTCTTTCTCAAGTACAGTGCTGTGAGCTGGTATTCTTCATAGTCTCTAACCATATGCATAAAGCATTATTAGAAGAATGTAATTATTAAGAACATATATGAGATTTCACATATTATTTTAGTAAGTTCTTATGTAGAATCTTTTGAGTCCACCTTTGAAAAATCTCCCTATCTAATAGCAAATTTATTTTTCAGATACTATTCACCTGGATACTCAGATACACTTCTGCAGAGGGTGGACAGCTACCAGCCACTTACCAACTGAAGAAAGCATATTTTTGTACTCCTCAGTGTCCCAGGAGAGTATGAATAATGATTGTTAAAATTCTTTGAAAGTACATTCTAGCTTTATTCAATGTGAGATACCTTTAGATAATGTTTTCTAAGTGTGTGTGTAATAGTTTAAGAATAAGTAACTGGAATATATGAAGGACTAGTCATAGTCATTTGCATGCATAGGAATTTCTCTAACAATAGACTTAAAAAGACATTATTAAAAGGTTTAAAACATTTGTTATTGTTCTGCTGGAAACCACACACAAACACACGCTCCAACGAGCTGAGAAATGCTGTTCAGCAGTGCTTAGGCGATTTTAGCCATTTTCTAATACCCACAGCTAAGGAAAACTTGCCCTTCAAGTTACACAGAAGCATCTAGAGGGAAAAGACCTGAAAGGTGAACCTGATGACAGAGGCCAATAACCTGGAAAGAGGCTCCGATGCTGGTCACTTGAACACACGGGACTAACGCAGAAGCTGGAGAGCCTGTTAGGTTTCACAAGAACTTAGGCACATTCTTCTCATTCCCACCAGTTATGAAGCTCTTTTCCTTCACTCTGGGGTTCCTCACTGAAGGGTTCCTGGCATTACATTCTGGTATCTGTGCTCTTCATTCCTCTTGAAAAGTTTCTTATTCGTGAGCCATACTCAAGGATAAGACATGGAAGATTTGCCTCCATTACTCCCTTGTCCTGGGTTCACTTCACCCAACTTCAGAAGTCATGTTTTCAGGGATTTAAGTAATTTGAGCAGAATACATCAGACTCAGACTTTATAGACATTTTATGTTAGATTCAGTAATGGGGTCAAAGAAGATTTTAATAAAATGTTAAAAACAGCATTAGAATTGTCCTTCTTGTTTTTATATCTGATTTTCTGACATTGGGAGTCTGTATTTGGAGTTAGGAATGTTTGATTGTTGATGTTGATTTGTATCTTTGGGCCTAAGGAGGTTTCATTCGAGGACCTGGAGAGGAGGTGCAGGCAAGCCTAGACAGCCTTTAGGACAGTGGGGCCTGTCCTAAAAACCTAGTTTCAGATTTCCTTCTTGGACTCCCCTAGCCTTTGATTTTTCATCAAAAGGAAACCTGGTTTGGACATTTTTCTGGACCCATCTCTGCCTTCATTATTTTTCAACAACACACATCTTTGTTGAAACTTTTAAAACTTCTTTATAACCAACATTCTTCAACCTATTTTTTATTTATGTCAAACTAGAATTGCTAGTCATTGCTCAGTAAATGTAACATCTCTTTGCTTTTCCCAACAATGAATGATCTCTTTAGGGACCCAAGGATTTCTTTGCCCTATTTTGAGACTCTTACTCCTGAGTTGATTAGGCACTTTTATTTTTATAAGGCTTCATGTCTATGGATAGTGGTGAAGGCTGTTTAGAGTCTATTTCTATATTGACCTCTGTCCCTGCTGTTGGTTGGAAGGTGTGGTCAGCACAATGAGTTCTGCCTTTTGTGCTGAGCTTCACTTTGGCAGAGATTTCAACTCAGTGATTCAATTCATCATGAAGTACCCTCAAAAGGCATTCTCCTTCACAAAGCTACTATCATGGGTAAAATACTCATATCAGAGTCTTCGAGGGGCTGGTCTGTTAAATCTGGTCATCAGGAAAATAAACCTTATGCATAACTTCAGTGTAGTAATGACCTGGCTTACCTGGTCCAACAGGTAGTAGGGTCTCTAGGGTTTGTGTCCACGCTACTTTAGATGACTGTAGGTTTCTTACATAGCATTCATTCCCTGACATCTGACCATCTGGGCATTAGTCAGCCAGTGCTTCCCCTTAATCCACTAGTGTCAATAATCCGTGTGACATATGGACTTCTAGTTCTTATCCCCAAATCATTTTGTCAGCCTCTGACACTAAAGGGACCATGCCCATGCGTGGACCAAGGCAGGGTGACCAGCCTTGGGAAATGAAATCAAGTTTCTAGGAGAGGTGTGTCATTGGATAAGAACTGTCAAGATCATGGTGTCTCTTCACAGCAATAGAAACCTTAACTAAGAGAGTTAGTTTAACTGATTTTGTAAACTTTAGTATGTAATTTTAAAAGCTTTCATGTGAATGGAGAAGAAAAACTTTAAATCATCACTTCAGATATCACAACACAGAAAAGAATTGTCTTTAACAAGCTGGCATATTCTACAGCTAGAAAACACCATAAAGGTGTGCTCGTGGCATATGTGATTTCATTTAAAATCCCTAGTCACAGGGGTCTTGTTGTTTTGTAGAACACAGAGTTTTCACTTTTCCTTTTGTTTATCTCAGTGGACTTAGGAAAAAGTATTTTCTCAGTGGATAATTTAAAATTCAGTGTAAAATATGGATTACCCAGAGTCCAGGGATAATGCTATGTCTGGCGTGGGATATCTGAGGGGGAAAAAACTATATACACTATGCTATTATGTCTGTTAACTTTATTCCTCTAAGACAAAATTCTATCTTTATGGCTGTAGCTTTGTCAGGCATTCAGGGCAGGAATAAATCTAGATACACCAAGGTCTTTATCCATCTCCTTTATTTCTCTGGGATGAAATCCTGTCTACATAGCTTCAGTTCTGTCCTGAAACTCAGATTTCTTATAGTCATGCTAACAAATAAGCTCATATGCGTCCAGCCTCATCCTTGTCCTCTGTTTCTTCTCCCTCCATCTCTACTTGCTCTCTACTCCTGGCTCTGATGAATTCTACAAGAATTCTGCCTTACTGTCTACAAAACCTCTGTGTTCTTCCCTTCTCCCTGGTCATGCTGTTCTGTCCATCCACCTCTACAGAAAATGCCTGTTCCTTCTTCTGATCACAGGGTACTCTGCCTCCTCAGGAATGTTGCTCCACCCTACCTTCCACCTTGATATGTAAAAACCTCTTTTGTTCTCAGTCAATTGCTCTGGAGAGCCACTAGGCCTCAAGGTAAGGGGATGGTCCAAGCTTCGTTAGCACAAGAAACAAAGCTATGGGTCTCTGCCAGCTTGTCTTTGCCTATGTGACTTTATCCAAGTACTGGCTGGAACAGGGAAGTTCACACACACATTCTATGGGAATTGTGAGCACAAGAAATTCATAACAAGGCACAGCTGAATATTAAGCTGTGTAACACCAAATAGTTCATGCTAGATGGCTTCCCACTTGACTGACCTTGGCCTGGTCAAGGTATAGCTTTGATATACAGCTGGACTCCTTATAACATATTCTTGTATCTCACCACAATAAAATGTTGCTGTGTTCCTTCCATTCATGACTGGTGTACTTTCTGCAGTAGATTTTCAGATGAATGTCAGATTGAGAACATTAAGAGCAAAAGGGGGTTTGACATGATATCTACCCAATAAGAAAGCCTCTAATTTTTCCATGCATACAATTTATAGTAACCCATTCTTGAGTAAAATTTATACTAAAACAGATGTTCTCAACCTGTGGGTCATGTGATTAGATCTCTGGCTTATCAGATATTTACATTACAATTAACAGTAGCAAAATTACAGTTATAAAGTAGCAATGAAATAATTTTATGGTTAGGGGGTCACCACAACATGAGGAACTATTAAAGGGTGGCAGCATTAGGAAGGTTGAGAGCAACTCTACTAAAATATGAAAAGTATATATTACTAATTATAAGTGTTCATTCCAAATGTTTTGAATATAAAGAAGTTCAAGTGTTTGTAACTTACATTGAGTTCCCAATTTTCCAAACTTCTGTGTGATGCACAGTATAATTTAAATAATTCAAATGGCATTGTTCTATTCCATGTGCTCCTAGTGCTAACCAAGACTGCAGCAAGCACATTTTAGTTAGAAGTAGTAGCAGGTTGGTCTGAAAGTTAGTACTTCTGGGCACCTGGATGAATTAGACTGATTCAACTTTCAGATCATGGTCAAATCTCCTCATTACTTTTCTGAAATATCACAGTGTAATGTGGAAGGAAACAGACTAGAATTCAAGAGACTCAAAAACACATGAGGATCTCAAAATTACTCCATTGAGTCAGTATATCAGGCGAGTTACTAAAACCCTCTCTAATTAGATCCTAAAGATTAATTAAATGGGGTTTAAAGAGTCCAGGACTTGGTAGGTAATTAAGTGGTGCCACCACAAATCTCTCTCTCTATTTTTTTATTGAAAAGGTCTCCATTCCTCAAGACACTTTATTTTTATTTATCTATCTATTTATTTATTTATTAATTTTTCATTCATTTTACATATCGACCACAGTTTTCCCTCCCTCTTCTCCTCCCATTCCCTCCCTCCACCACTGTTATACCCCCTCCCCATTTGCTCTTCCTCCATCTCCATTCAGAAAGGGGCAGGCCTCCCACGGGAGTCAACAAAGCATGGCACATCAAGTTGAGGCAAGACCAAGCTCCTCCTCCTGCATCAAGGTTTGGTGAGGCAACCCTGAATGGGGAATGGGTTCCCCCTAGCTCAAGCACCAGGGACAGGTCCTGATCCTACTGCTAGGAGCCCCACAAACAGAGCAAACTACACAACTGTAACACACATTCCGAAGCTTAGGTCAGTCCATGCAGGCTCCCTAGCTGTTGGTCCAGCATTGGTGAGCTCCCAAGAGCTTAGGTCAGCTGTCTCTGTGGGTTCCCCTGTCATGACCTTGACCACCTTGTCTTGTACAATCCTTCCTCTCTCTCTTAAACAGGACTCTTGGATCTGGGCCCAGTGTCTGGCTGTGGATCTCTGCATCTGCTTACATCAGATACTGGATGAATGTTCTCTGATGACAATTAGGATAGTCACAAATATGATTACAGGAGAAGGCCAGTTCACCCTCTCCACTATTGCTAGGAATCTTAGCTGGAGTCATCCTTGGGGACTCCTGGGAGTTTCCCTGGCACCAGGTTTCACCCTAACCCTCAAATGCCCCCCATCTAGATATCTCTTTCATTATTCACTCATCTGTCCCATCCCTAACCCACCCAAACCAATCACTCATGTTCCCATACGTCCATTTCCCTCCCCCCACCCCTAGTTTACCCAGGAGATCTCTTCTATTTCCCCTTCCCATGGAATACATCTCTTTGGGCCTTCCTTGTTACCTACCTTCTCTGGGGTTGTGGATTGTAGCCCTCTTATTCTTTACTTTATAGCTAATATCCACTTATGAGTGAGTACATGCCACGTTTGTTTTTCTGGGTCTGAATTACCTCACTCAAGATGATTCTTTTCTAGTTCCATTCATTTGCCTGCAAATTTCATGAGGTCATTGGCTTTTTTTTTTTTTTACTGCTGAGTAATACTCCATTGTGTAAATGTACCACTTTTTCTTTATCCATTCTTCAATAGAAGAGCATTTAGGTTGTTTCCAGGTTCTGGCTATTATGAATAACACTGCTATGAACATAGTTGAGCAAGTAAGTGTCTTTGTTGAGCATCATTTGGGTATATGCCCAATATTGGCATGGCTGTGTGTTGAGGTAGATTGATTCCCAACTTTCTGAGAAACTGCCATAATGATTTCCTAAGTGGCTGTACAAAATTTTGCCCCCACCAACAGTAGAGGAGTGTTCCCCTTGATCCACATCCTCTCCAACGTAGGTTATCATTAGTGTTTTTGATCTTAGCTATTCATTCTGACAGGTGTAAGATGGTGTCTTAGAGTCATTTTGATTTTCATTTCCCTGAAGACTAAGGATGTTGAGCAAGTCCTTAAATGTCTTTCAGCCATTTCTTCTGTTGAGAATTCTGTTTAGAATTCTGTACCCCATTTTTAAAATGGATTATTTGGTATTTGTTGTCTAGTTTCTTGAGTTCTTTATATATTTTGGAGATCAGCCCTCTGTCAGATGTGGAGTTGGTAAAGATCTTTACTCATTCTGTAGGCTGTTGTTTTATCTTATTTATCATATCCTTTGCCTTAAAGAAGCTCTTCAGTTTCAGGAGGTCCCATTTGTTAACAGTCCATCTCAATGTCTATAGTACAGGTGTTAAATTCAGGAAGTGATCTCCTGTGACAGTGTGTTCAAGGCCCCTTCCCACTACCAGCTACAGTGTAACTGGATTTTTTCATTTGTCTTTATTAAGAATTTTACTACTCACTCTATATACCACTGACAGATCCCATCTCCTCCCTCTTGTCACCCCAGACCTCCCTCCCAAGACACCCCACATCCCCACATCCCCCAAATCAAGGTCTCCCATGGGGAGTCAGCAGAGCCTGGCACCCTGAGCCTAGGCAGGTCCAAGCCACTTCCCACTGCACCAAGGAGGTGCAAGGTGTCACACCACAGGCACTGGGCTCCCAAAAGCCTGCTCATGCACCAGGGATGGGTCCTGATCCCCCAGTCTGGGTGCTCCCCAAACAGTTTGAGCCAAACAATCATCTTCCATATCCAGAGGGCCTAGTCCAGTCCCATGGGGACTCCATAGCCACTAGTCTACAATTCGTGGGCTTCCACCAGTGTGGCCAGTCATCTCTTCACGTCTTCCCATCATGATCTCGACGTTTCCCCCTCCTCTCTCTCATCGATTGGATTCCCCAGAGCTCAGCCTGGTCCCTGGCCATGGATCTCTGCATCTGTCTCCATCAGTCACTGGACAAAGGCTCTATGATGATGGTTAGCGTATTACACTGGTCCCCAGAGTAGACCAGTCCAGGCACCCTCTGGACCACTGCCAGCATACCCAGGTGGGGTCATCCTTGTGGATTCATGAGAGCCTCCCTGGCACCCTGCCTCTTCCTATTCCCATGATGTCCCCATCTATCATGGGATCTTGCCCCCCTGCCCTCTCACTCTGTCCCTGTTCTGGCTCGATCCTCCCATTTCCCTATATTCCCATCCCCCCTTTGCCCTCTACCACCCCCAATCCCAGTCCACTCATGTAGATCTCATCCACTTCTCCTTTGCTGGGTCATCCATGTGTACCTCCTAGGGTCTTCCCCTGTTAGCTAGCCTCTCTGAAGCTGTGGGTTACAGTCTGGCTATCCCTCCCCTCACATTTAGTATCTACTCATGAGTGAGTATATACTATGTTTGTCCTTCTGAGTCTGGGTTACCTCACTCAGGGTGATATTCTTTAGTTCCATCTATTTACCTGCAAATTTCACGATATCATTGTTTTTACTGCTGAATAGTACTCCATTGTATATATGTGCCACATTTTCTTTAACCATTCTTCAGTTGAGGGGCATCTAAGTTGTTTCCAGGTTCTGGCTATTATGAATAATGCTGATATGTACATAATTGAGCATGTGTCCTTGTGGTAAGATTGAGCATTCCTTGAGTATATGCCCAAGAGTGGTATAGCTGGGTCTTGAGGAAGACATTCTCAATTTTCTGAGAAACCCCATATTGATTTCCAAAGTGGCTGTACAAGTTTGCATTCCCACCAACAGTGGAGGAGTGTTCCCCTTGCTCCACATCCTCTCCAGAATAAGCTGTCTTCAGTGTTTTTGATCTTAGCCATTCTGACAGGTATAAGATGGTATCTCAGAGTCATTTTGATTTGTATTTCCCTGATGATTAAGGATGTTGAGCAATTCCTTAAATGTCTTTCAGCCATTTGAAATTTTTCTATTGAGAATTCTCTGTTAAGCTCTGTAGCCCATTTTTAAATTAGATTGTTCAGTATTTTGAAGTCTAGCTTTTTGAGTTCTTTATATATTTTGGAGATCAGCCCTCTGTCAGATGTGGGGTTGGTGAAGGTCTTTTCCCATTCTGTAGGCTGTCGTTTTTGTCTTGTTGACCATGTCCTTTGCTCTACAAAAGCTTCTCAATTTCAGGAGCTCCCATTTATTAATTGTTGCTTTCAGTGTCTGTGCTACTGGTGTTATATTTAGGAAGTGGTCTCCTGTGTCAATGCCTTCAAGACTACTTCCTACTTTCTCTTCTATCAAGTTCAGTGTAACTGAATTTATGCTGAGGTCTTTGATCCACTTGGACTTGAGTTTTGTGCATGACTCTATTTGTAGTCTTCTACATGTTGATACCCAGTTATGCCTGCACCATTTGTTGAAGATGCTTTCTTTTTTCCATTGTACAGTTTTGGATTCTTTGTCAAAAATTATATGTTCATAGGTGTGCAGATTAATGTCAGGGTCTTCAAGTTGTTTGCATTGGTCCACATGTCAGTTTTTATGCCAGTACCAAGCTGTTTACATTACTATAGCTCTATAGTAGAGCTTCAGGTCAGGGATCATGATGCCTCCAGAGGTTGCTTTATTATACAGGATTCATTTAGCTATCCTAGGGTTTTTTCCATATAAAGTTAAGTATTGTTCTTT